AAGAATTATATCGTGGATAGAATTCTTGCTCCGTGAAAAATTTCTTCAGATAAGTTAGAATCCCTACAAAGATGCAACACTTCCCTATAAAGTCTTGGAAATCTTCCATAATAAATCCAAACAACTTTTCATCTCTCATCCACATAAATTCTCTCTCTTCCCAATCCCTTTTTTGAATTTCAAAATTGGTCAACTCTTATCCCCTCTCTCTCTTCCTAACAATCTATAAAAACCCCCATTCCCTTCACATTTTTTTCCACACCACTCTCCCTCATTAGTAAAAATTCTCCCAAACTCTCCTCAAGTCACAAGTGCTCTCCCGGCAGCGTGCCGAGCTGGGACCTGTTTGTTTGTTTTTTTTTGTTTTTTTTTTTTTTTTTGTTTTTTTTTTTTGCCATGTGTTAGCCTCTTCAACAAAGTCCTATGAGACTATGTCATCGGGCTCACCCGTCGGGGTTGGTACGCGAGGCCGGACCTCGTGCCCCCTTAGGGTACGTAAGCCTCTCGGGCTAAGTCTTTCCGGACCACGCCACCGGGCTCTTTCGTCGGGGTTTGTACGCGAGGTCGGACCTCGTGCCCCCTTAGGGTGCGCCAAACCGCTTGGGCCCAGTCCTGCCGGACCAAACCACCGGGCTCCTCCGTCGGGGTTTGTACGCGAGGTTAGACCTCGTGCCCCCTTAGGGTGCGCGTTAGCTGCTCGGGCACAGTCCGACGGGACTGTGCCACCGGGCTCTTCCGTCGGGGTTGGTACGCGAGGTCGTCCCTCGTGCCCCCTTAGGGTGCGTCCTCCGTCGGGGTTAGTACGCGAGGCCGGACCTCGTGCCCCCTTAGGGTCCACGGGGGGGGGGGGGGGGGGGAAGACATGAGTGAGCACTCGTTCCCTACTGTTTCACGATTTTTTCCTTCTTTTTTTTTTTTTTTTTTTTTTTTTTTTTTTTCTTTTTTAAGGGAGATAAAATGCATGAGAACCAGCTTTGTAACAAAAAAGGTCCTGCGCATAATGTGTTCTGTAATATGCGATTTTATTCCGACTATTGCCACTCACTAAGACATTATTAGGGGAGGGGAATGGTCCTCCTCCTAGAATAGCAACGCCAAGACCCACCTCTCACGTTGTAGGTCTACTGGTAAAATTTCAGTAGGTGCTCTGAGTTCCAGACCCTGGCTATCATCTTTCCTTTGGGAGTTTTGAGCTTGTAGCTGCCCGGGCGGACCACGGCTGCTATAATGTACGGGCCCTCCCAATTAGGGGCAAACTTTCCTCCGGCTTGGGGCTGGCTTGCCTCCCTTCTCCTGAGCAGATAGTCACCTACTTAGAAATAGCGGGGTCGGCCCCGCTTATCGTGGTATGCCTTGGTCTGCCTCTGGTAGTTTTCAGCTCGAATCGCGGCTGCTTCGTGCCTGTCATCAATCATGTAGAGGTCAATTCTATGGTGCTCCTCGTTCATGTCAGGGTCATAGTCCTCCTCCCGCCGGGAAGGTATGACTACCTCCGCTGGATCTCGGGCTTCGAAACCGTAGGCTAAGGAAAAAGGTGTCTCCCCATTAGCCCTCTGGGGGGTGGTGCGATAGGCCCAAAGAATGGCGTCGAGCTCCTCCACCCACGCTCCCCCCGCGGATTCCAGTTTCTTTTTCAGGCCACCCACAATGGTGCGGTTGACATTTTCCACCCGGCTGTGAGTAATGTGCCATTCTGCACAGAACCCCTCGAACTCTTGCCCCTCGAATTGGCGTCCATTGTCGGTGATGAGTTGCATCGGGACCCCAAAACGGCACAAAATATTTTTGTAAACAAAGTGCTTGCAACGGGCACTTGTTATGGTTGCTAGCGGTTCCGCCTCTACCCAATTGGTGAAGTAGTCCACTGCTACTATGAGGTACTTCCTTTTTCCCGACCCCATGGGCAGAGCTCCCACTAGGTCCACTCCCCACCTGGAGAATGGGATGACCGAGCTGATGGGGGTGTAGCTCGTGGCTGGCCGGCCGGGGGTGACTTGGAAGTGTTGGCAGGTCTCCTAACCCCGGGCATAGTCGGCGCACTCCTTGGCCATTTTGGGCCAAAAGTACCCTTGTAAGATGGCCCTCCGGGACATGGCGAAGGCCCCCTGGTGGGCTGAACAGGTCCCTTCGTGGATTTTTTCCATGACTGACCTGGCTTCATCTGGGTACAAGCAGTGCAGCAAGGCGCCGTTATAGGACCTCTTGTAGAGTGTGTCCCCCATGACCACGTACGTGGGGGCTCGCCGTTTCACCAGCTTGGCGTCGACCTCGTCGGGAGGTAGCGTGCCTGTCTTCTTGTACTCCTTGAGGTGGTCCAACCAGCAGGGAGGTCGGATTTGCACGGGTAGGACCGGGTAGGCGTCCAGGCTCGACCTCTTGAAATCTTCAATTCGGGCTATTTTTGAGATATGTTCCGGGGCCCCTTGGGCGAGCTTGGATAACATGTCAGCATCTGTGTTGGATAATTTGAACGCGAAGCGGAGGGCGTAGTAGGCCCGAAACCCCTCCGGTGTTATGAGGACGACTCCGCCCCCGTAGCTTTTGGTGCTGGAGGACCCGTCCGTTGAGAGGGTCCACCACTCCTCGTCTTCGTCCCTGACCCGCTCCGTTGCTTCCCGGGCAGTGCACTCGACTATAAAGTCAGCCAGCGCCTGCCCCTTGATGGCGGGTCGGGGCTTGAACTGGATGTCGAACTGGCTCAGCAGCATGGCCCACCTGACCAGCCTGCTTGCCGACCCCGAGGCCCTCAGTACTGCGTCTAGTGGCTGGTTGGTGAGGACCTGCACGGGGTGGGCCTGGAAGTAGTGGTTCAGCTTCTTTGCCGTCGCATCTACTGCAAAAATGGCCTTTTCCACGGGTGTGTACCTGATCTCTGCTCCCCGTAGAGCTCGGCTCGTGTAGTATACGGGCCGCTGGACCCCCTCGTCGTCTCGAACCAGCACGGAGCTGACCGCGGCCTGCGAGATGCCCAAGTACAGATATTGGACCTCCCCCTTAACGGGTTTGGCCAGGGGGGGGGGGGGGGGAGCGACATCAGGTATGTTTTGAGGTCCTCGAACGCCTTCTGGCACTCCTCGGACCATTCGAAGCCCTTAGTCTTTTTTAGGACTCCAAAGAACGGCAAGGACTTCTCGGCCGACCTCGAAAGGAACCGGCCCAGGGCTGCCAACCGCCCGTTGAGGCGTTGGACCTCCCGGAGGGACCTCGGAGGTTCCATGTCCAGGATGGCCTTGAACTTGTCAGGGTTGGGCTCAATGCCCCTCTTCGAGACCATGTACCCCAAAAATTCCCCCCCGTGCACCCCGAAGGTGCACTTTTTGGGGTTCAACCGTAAATTGAAGCGTTGCATAATTGAAAATACCTCGGTAAGGTCATCTGTGTGGAGGTCGGTGTCGGCACTCTTGAAGATCATGTCGTCGACGTAGGCCTGGAGGTTGCGACCGAGGACCTGCTTGAATACCTTGGCCACCATTCGGGTGTAGGTGGCACCTGAAATTTTCAGTCCGAAAGCCATAACCTTGTAGCAATAAACCCCCTCTGGCGTGGTGAAGGCTGTCTTCTCCTCGTCAGCCTCCTCCATGAAAATTTGGTGGTACCCCCTGAACGCATCTAGGAAGCTCATGAGGGCACAACCTGCAGTCTCGTCCACCAGCTGATCGATGTTGGGGAGGGGAAAGGGGTCCATAGGGCAGGCCTTGTTGAGGTCGGTGTAGTCCACGCACATCCTCCAGGTGGGCGGCTTTGGGGCGAGGACTACGTTGGCCAGCCAGGTGGGGTATATGACCTCTCAAACATGACCAATCTCCAGCAGTGTGTCGACCTCCTATTTGACGAACTCCCTCCTCTCGGCAGAGAGATACCTTTTGCGCTGCTGGATTGGCCTGACCGCGGGGTCAACGGCCAACTTGTGTGTGATTACGTCTCGGCTGAGGCACGGCATGTCCTCGGGTCCCCATGCAAAGACCTCCTTGTAGCTCCTGATGGTGTTGATTATCCGTGCCCGGAGCTCAGCCGGGAGGCCGACCCCTACCTTCACAACTCGGTCGGGTCGGCTGAGGTCGAGGATGACCTCCTCTGTCTCGACCACGGGCTCGGCCCGAGGTCGACCTACCTCCTCCCGAAATGCCTTCTCGGCGATGGTATGTACCTGGAGGTCCTTTTGACCAATCTGGCGGCACGCCTTCAAGTAGCAGCTGCGGCTTATCTTTTGGTCCCCCCGGGCGACCCCGACCCCGGTCGGTGTCGGAAACTTGAGACACAGGTGCTCCATGGAAATTACGCACCTGAGGTCCTCTAGGGCAGGTCGGCCGAGTATTATGTTGTGGGCGCAGCTGATTTTCACGACTACGAACTCGACCTCCCACCTCCTTGTGTGAGGTGGGGTGCCTATCTCTACCTCCAAACTGATCGACCCCTCCGTCTCAATTGAGTCCCCCGTGAACCCGGACAGGGGGGTCCGTACCTGCTCCAGCTGCCCTCTTGAGAGTCCCAGCTGGGTGAACGTGTCGTAGTACATGACGTTCACCGAGCTACCCGTGTCTACGAGTACCCGGTGCACCACCACGTTGTTGATGTCCAGCTTGACCACCAGGGCGTCTCGGTGGGGGAGGGGCCCATCTGGCAGGTCGGCATCGGTGAACGTGATGGGCTCCCTCTTTGGTTTCTTCTCGTGGGGGTACGTGTGACCTCCCCCACGTACAAGCTCCTCGCCCACCTCTTCCGCTCGGCTGGCGAGTCCCCTCCCTCGGGCCCCCCAAAGATGACGTAGATGGCCCGTTTCTACGGGGGCTGGGAGTCCTCCGTCGTCTTCTCCTCCTCCTCGGAACTGTGGTCGTGGTGGTCCCTCTTGCGGGGAGGAGCCGAGGTGGATGGCGCCTGGCCACCCCCCTTCCGCCATACATTGCTCTGCTTCTGGCCCTAGGCCTGTTCCTGCGCCTGGCCGGGCTTCTTAATGAATTGGCCGAGGTAGCCCATTTGGATGAGCTGCTCGATTTGTCTTTTTAGGAGGATGCACTCGTCTGTATCGTGTCCTTTCTGCCGATGGAACCTGCAGTACTTGTTGGGGTCCCCCCCGTCGATATCTCCATGCACTCCTCCTTCGGGAATACCACGATTCCCTGGTCCTCCGCATGCGCCAAGATAGTACCCACGGGTTGTGTCAGCGGGGTGAGATAGCGTGTGGGGTTCATCCTGGGCCCCTCAGCGTACTCCCGTGGGTGTGGTCGGGGCGCCTTGCGCTCCTCCTGGGGTGCCTTGTCTTTTCGACCTCTTCCTTCTTCCTGCTCCTTCTTCCTCTTCTCGGCAGCCTCGGCGTCAGCGTACCTCGCTGCCTTGTCCATCAGGTCGGTGTAGGTCCTGGGGGGGTACCTGATGAGGTCCTGGTGAAAAGCGCCCGACCTCAAGTTGTTCCGGAAAATTACCATGGCCGATTTCGCATCAAAGTCGGCGACCCCCATGACCTCTTTCTTCCACTTCCTGAGGTACTCAGCTAGTGACTCCGAGCTCCCCTGCTTCAAATCACACAGGTCGGCAATTTGCTTCTTCCGTTGTATGCTGGTGGCGAAATGGGATAGGAACTGCCGGGTGAGGTCCGTAAAGGTGGAGATGGACCCCGCCGGGAGGGATCCGAACCAATCATGCGCCTGCCCGTCCAGGGTGGCGAAGAACCCCCTACAAAAGATTGCGTCTGTCGCCTCGGTGATCATTATGGCGGCTCTGTACCTGGTCAGGTGTGCCCGTGGGTCCGTGGTCCCCGAGTACGCTTTAATGGTGGGAAAGTGAAAATCTCGAGGTAAGGGCTCCTCCATGATGACGTTTGCGAACGGAGAGGACAACACATCCTCGGGCTCTAGGGATCCGTCCCTCTTGTCGAACTTCCTCTGGAGCTCATCCATCCTCCTCCGGAGCTGCTCGACCTCTACCCGATGGGAGCTCGGAGCTCTACCATTCGATTCCCCTGATCGTTCGACCCGGGAGGCCTGTGCACGCCGAGGTGAGACTCTGGTCCCCCGTCCCGGTGACCCCCGCGGGCCTACCTCTTGTCGCGGCGGGGACCGGGGTCCGTGGCTCGGCGACCTCCGGGTGACTGACTGCTGTCGTGCCTGCTTGCGGGAGCAGGATTCTGCTGGTGGAGGCTCATTAGCAGCAGGCCTTGGGCCCAACCTCTCCCGGGCTGGCAACCGGTTGCCCAACCTCTCCAAGGCGGGCCTGGTTTGGGTTGGGGCCCTTTCATCTTCGTCACGCTGGCGGTCTCGGCGGGAGTCCCCTCTTCCCCTCCTCTCCGATGGTCGAGGCGAGTTGACCTCCCCCTGGGTGACAGGTGCCTGGGGCGGTCAGGTTCTCGGGCCGCTGCGCCCCCGAGTTGGAGGAGGCGGAGGCGACGCCGGCGCCCCTCCGGTAGCGCCTAGGGCGGCTTGTTCCTCTGCCCGGAGGCCCGCTGCGACGCGCGCCAGCGCGGTGGAGGCTTGTTCAAAGATCGCCACCCCCTCCCGGATGAGTGCGCGAGCCGGAGCGGGGGTGACGGGGGGTGGTGGCCGTGCACCACTACTACGGTGGTTGGTGAGCTGGGCCCTCAGATCGTCCCCCAACCTGTTGGAGGTGGCCGGTTGGATGCTGGGGGCGGGGGCCCCGTTGGTGCCGTTCCCGTTCGCGACGAGCTGGGTGCCGTGGGAACCATTGGTATGACGAGAGCTGGATCTCAATCGTGCCATCGCTGTCGATGAACAATAGTGGGGAGAGCGCTTAAGCTTGTACAGCGGCTCTCAACAAGAGCACCAATGATGGATTTAATTAACCCGGGGGTGTGCCCGAATCAATAAATCCGGATAAGAACGTAATATAATAAGAATAATAAGCGAATAATATAGAACGATGTCGTAAAGGTCGCTGGGGACCGTATATTATATTAATTGTCGTAGTATTTGGCTATTACAAAGATCTAATAGGACAAAGTGTGTAATAAGTGTAGAATATAGATTGAATCGCCCTTTGTTAGGACAAGGAGGGGGGTTTTATACAAGCTAACCCCCCAACCGCCTCCCCCTAAATCGGAGGGTGGTTAGATCTCAGCTTTGACCGGGCTCGGGTGGACCGGGTCGGGTCGGGTCGGGTCCCGAGCTCGGGTGGTGCCGAGCTCGGGTAGGACCGAGCTCCCCGACCCGACCTCGACGTAGGTCAGCTCGGGTCGGGGCACCTCCATGGTGCTCCAGGTCCGCGTTGCGCTTGGACACCTCCGTGGTCCCCCGGGTCCGTGTTGCTCTTGGGCACCTCCGTGGTCCCCCGAGTCCGTGCTGCTCTTGGGCACCTCCGTGGTCCCCCGAGTCCGTGCTGCTCTTGGGCACCTCCGTGGTCCCCCGGGTCCGTGCTGCTCTTGGGCTCCACCAAGGTGCTCCGGGTCCATGTTGCTACCCCGGGTCGGGTCGTGGGTATAATATATCCATCATGAGTCCCCACTCTCTTCGTTGCGAGTGGAAGTCAACGAATGAGAGTATCCGTACGCCGACCCGAGCCCCCTGGGTGAAAAATTCCGAGCTCCAAAATTTAGCCGACCCCCTCCAAGAATTATATCGCGGATAGAATTCTTGCTCCGTGAAAAATTTCTTCAGATAAGTTAGAATCCCTACAAAGGTGCAACACTTCCCTATAAAGTCTTGGAAATCTTCCATAATAAATCCAAACAACTTTTCATCTCTCATCCACATAAATTCTCTCTCTTCCCAATCCCTTTTTTGAATTTCAAAATTGGTCAACTCTTATCCCCTCTCTCTCTTCCCAACAATCTATAAAAACCCCCCATTCCCTTCACATTTTTTTCCACACCACTCTCCCTCATTAGTAAAAATTCTCCCAAACTCTCCTCAAGTCACAAGTGCTCTCCCGGCAGCGTGCCGAGCTGGGACCTGTTTGTTTTTTGTTTTTTGTTTTTTTTTTTTTTTTTTTTTACCATGTGTTAGCCTCTTCAACAAAGTCCTATGAGACTATGTCATCGGGCTCTCCCGTCGGGGTGGGTACACGAGGCCGGACCTCGTGCCCCCTTAGGGTACGTTAGCCTCTCGGGCTAAGTCCTTCCGGACCACGCCACCGGGCTCTTCCGTCGGGGTTTCTACGCGAGGTCGGACCTCGTGCCCCCTTAGGGTGCGCCAAACCGCTTAGGCCCAGTCCTGCCGGACCAAACCACCGGGCTCCTCCGTCGGGGTTTGTACGCGAGGTTAGACCTCGTGCCCCCTTAGGGTGCGCGTTAAGGGAGATAAAATGCATGAGAACCAGTTTGTAACAAAAAAGGTCCTGCGCACAATGTGTTCTGTAATATGCGATTTTATTCCGACTATTGCCACTCACTAAGACATTATTAGGGGAGGGGAATGGCCCTCCTCCTAGAATAGCAACGCCAAGACCCACCTCTCACGTTGTAGGTCTAGTGGTAAAATTTCAGCAGGTGCTCTGAGTTCCAAACCCTAGCTATCATCTTTCCTTTGGGACTTTTGAGCTTGTAGCTGCCCGGGCGGACCACGGCTACTATAATGTACGGGCCCTCCCAATTAGGGGCAAACTTTCCTCTGGCTTGGGGCTGGCTCGCCTCCCTTCTCCTGAGCAGATAGTCACCTACTTGGAAATAGCGGGGTCGGCCCCGCTTATCGTGGTATGCCTCTGGTAGTTTTCAGCTCGAATCGCGGCTTCTTCGCGCCTGTCATCAATCATGTGGAGGTCAATTCTATGGTGCTCCTCGTTCGTGTCAAGGTCGTAGTCCTCCTCCCGCCGGGAAGGTATGACTACCTCCGCTGGAGCTCGGGCTTCGAAACCGTAGGCTAAGGAAAAAGGTGTCTCCCCAGTAGCCCTCCGGGGGGTGGTGCGATTGGCCCAAAGAATGGCGTCGAGCTCCTCCACCCACGCTCCCCCCGCGGATTCCAGTTTCTTTTTCAGGCCACCCACAATGGTGCGGTTGACATTTTCCACCCGGCTGTGAGTAATGTGCCATTCTGCACAGAACCCCTCGAACTCTTGCCCCTCGAATTGGCGTCCATTGTCGGTGATGAGTTGCATCGGGACCCCAAAACGGCACAAAATATTTTTGTACACAAAGTGCTTGCAACGGGCACTTGTTATGGTTGCTAGCGGTTCCGCCTCTACCCACTTGGTGAAGTAGTCCACTGCTACTATGAGGTACTTCCTTTTTCCCGACCCCATGGGCAGAGCTCCCACTTGGTCCACTCCCCACCTGGAGAATTGGATGACCGAGCTGATGGGGGTGTAGCTCGTGGCTGGCCGGCCGGGGGTGACTTGGAAGTGTTAGCAGGTCTCGCAACCCCGGGCATAGTCGGCGCACTCCTTGGCCATTTTGGGCCAAAAGTACCCTTGTAAGATGGCCCTCCGGGACATGGCGAAGGCCCCCTGGTGGGCTGAACTGGTCCCTTCGTGGATTTCTTCCATGACTGACCTGGCTTCGTCTGGGTACAAGCAGTGCAGCAAGGCGCCGTTATAGGACCTCTTGTAGAGTGTGTCCCCCATGACCACGTACGTGGGGGCTCGCCGTTTCACCAGCTTGGCGTCAACCTCGTCGGGAGGTAGCGTGCCTGTCTTCTTGTACTCCTTGAGGTGGTCCAACCAGCAGGGAGGTCGGATTTGCACGGGTAGGACCGGGTAGGCGTCCACGCTCGACCTCTTGAAATCTTCAATTCGGGCTATTTTTGAGATATGTTCCGGGGCCCCTTGGGCGAGCTTGGATAACATGTCAGCATCTGTGTTCTGGTCTCGGGGTACCTGTAGGACCTCATAATTGATCAGCTGCCCCAGTAGCTGGAGCACCATGTCCCGGTACCTCCTCATTCTTTCATCACTTGCTTCAAATTCACCTGTGACTTGTCCCACCACGAGTCTAGAGTCACATCGGATTTTGAGCTTCTCCACCCTCATATTTAGTGCGAGGCGGAGCCCTCCCAGGAGTGCTTCATACTCGGCCTCGTTGTTGGATAATTTGAACGCGAAGCGGAGGGCGTAGTAGGCCCGAAACCCGTCCGGTGTTATGAGGATGACTCCACCCCCGTAGCTTTTGGTGCTGGAGGACCCGTCCGTTGAGAGGGTCCACCACTCCTCGTCTTCGTCCCTGACCCGCTCCGTTCCCTCCAGGGCAGTGCACTCGACTATAAAGTCAACCAGCGCCTGCCCCTTGATGGCGGGTCGGGGCTTGAACTGGATGTCGAACTGGCTCAGCAGCATGGCCCACCTGACCAGCCTGCTTGCCGACCCCGAGGCCCTCAGTACTGCGTCTAGTGGCTGGTTGGTGAGGACCTGCACGGGGTGGGCCTGGAAGTAGTGGTTCAGCTTTTTTGTCGTCGCATCTACTGCAAAAACGGCCTTTTCCACGGGTGTGTACCTGATCTCTGCTCCCCGTAGAGCTCGGCTCGTGTAGTATACGGGCCGTTGGACCCCCTCGTCGTCTCGGACCAGCACGGAGCTGACCGCGGCCTGCGAGATGCCCAAGTACAGATATTGGACCTCCCCCTTAACGGGTTTGGCCAGGGGGGGAGCGACATCAGGTATGTTTTGAGGTCCTCGAACGCCTTCTGGCACTCCTCGGACCATTCGAAGCCCTTAGTCTTTTTTAGGACACCAAAGAACGGCAAGGACTTCTCGGCCGACCTCGAAAGGAACCGGCCCAGGGCTGCCAACCGCCCGTTGAGGCGTTGGACCTCCCGGAGGGACCTCGGAGGTTCCACGTCCAGGATGGCCTTGACCTTGTCAGGGTTGGGCTCAATGCCCTTCTTCGAGACCATGTACCCCAAAAATTCCCCCCCGTGCACCCCGAAGGTGCACTTTTTAGGGTTCAACCGTAAATTGAAGCGTTGCATAATTGAAAATACCTCGGTAAGGTCATCTGTGTGGAGGTCGGTGTCGGTAGTCTTGAAGATCATGTCGTCGACGTAGGCCTGGAGGTTGCGACCGAGGACCTGCTTGAATACCTTGGCCACCATTCGGGTGTAGGTGGCACCTGAATTTTTCAGTCCGAAAGCCATAACCTTGTAGCAATAGACCCCCTCTGGCATGGTGAAGGATGTCTTCTCCTCGTCAGCCTCCTCCATGAAAATTTGGTGGTACCCCCTGAACGCATCTAGGAAGCTCATGAGGGCACAACCTGCAGTCTCGTCCACCAGCTGATCGATGTTGGGAGGGGAAAAGGGTCCATAGGGCAGGCCTTGTTGAGGTCGGTGTAGTCCACGCACATCCTCCAGGTGGGCGGCTTTGGGACGAGGACTACGTTGGCCAGCCAGGTGGGGTATATGACCTCTCTAACATGACCAATCTCCAGCAGTGTGTCGACCTCCTTTTTGACGAACTCCCTCCTCTCGGCGGAGAGATACCTTTTGCGCTGCTGGATTGGCCTGACCGCGGGGTCAACGGCCAACTTGTGTGTGATTACGTCTCGACTGAGGCACGGCATGTCCTCGGGTCCCCATGCAAAGACCTCCTTGTAGCTCCTGATGGTGTTGATTATCCGTGCCCGGAGCTCAGCCGGGAGGCCGACCCCTACCTTCACAACCCGGTCGGGTCGGCTGAGGTCGAGGATGACCTCCTCTGTCTCGACCACGGGCTCGGCCCGAGGTCGACCTACCTCCTTCCGAAATGCCTTCAAGTAGCAGCTGCGGCTTATCTTTTGGTCCCCCCGGGCGACCCCGACCCCGGTCGGTGTCGGAAACTTGAGACACAGGTGCTCCATGGAAATTACGCACCTGAAGTCCTCTAGGGCAGGTCGGCCGAGTATTATGTTGTGGGCGCAGCTGATTTTCACGACTACGAACTCGACCTCCCACCTCCTTGTGGGAGGTCCCCCGTGAACCCGGACAGGGGGGTCCGTACCTGCTCCAGCTGCCCTCGTGAGAGTCCTAGATGGGTGAACGTGTCGTAGTACATGACGTTCACCGAGCTACCCGTGTCTACGAGTACCCAGTGCACCACCACGTTGTTGATGTCCAGCTTAACCACCAGGGCGTCTCGGTGGGGGAGGGGCCCATCTGGCAGGTCGGCGTCGGTGAACGTGATTGGCTCCCTCTTTGGTTTCTTCTCGTGGGGGGTACGTGTGACCTCCCCCACGTACAAGCTCCTCGCCCACCTCTTCCGCTCGGCTGGCGAGTCCCCTCCCTCGGGCCCCCCAAAGATGACGTAGATGGCCCGTTTCTACCAGGGCTGGGAGTCCTCCGTCGTCTTCTCCTCCTCCTCGGAACTGTGGTCGTGGTGGTCCCTCTTGCGGGGAGGAGCCGAGGTGGATGGCGCCTGGCCACCCCCCTTCCGCCATACATTGCTCTGCTTCTGGCCCTGGGCCTGTTCTTGCGCCTGGCCGGGCTTCTTAATGAATTGGCCGAGGTAGCCCATTTGGATGAGCTGCTCGATTTGTCTTTTTAGGAGGATGCACTCGTCTGTATCGTGTCCTTTCAGCCGGTGGAACCTGCAGTACTTGTTGGGGTCCCCCCCGTCGATATCTCCATGCACTCCTCCTTCGGGAATACCACGATTCCCTGGTCCTCCGCATGCGCCAAGATAGTACCCACGGGTTGTGTCAGCGGGGTGAGATAGCGTGTGGGGTTCATCCTGGGCCCCTCAGCGTACTCCCGTGGGTGTGGTCGGGGCGCCTTGCGCTCCTCCTGGGGTGCCTTGTCTTTTTGACCTCTTCCTTCTTCCTGCTCCTTCTTCCTCTTCTCGGCGTCAGCGTACCTCGCTGCCTTGTCCATCAGGTCGGTGTAGGTCCTGGGGGGGTACCTGATGAGGTCCTGGTGAAAAGCGCCCGACCTCAAGTTGTTCTGGAAAATTACCATGGCCGATTTCGCATCAAAGTCGGCGACCCCCATGACGTCTTTCTTCCACTTGCTGAGGTACTCAGCTAGTGACTCCGAGCTCCCCCGCTTCAAATCACACAGGCTGGCAATTTGCTTCTTCCGTTGTATGCTGGTGGCGAAATGGGATAGGAACTGCCGGGTGAGGTCCGCAAAGGTGGAGATGGACCCCGTCGGGAGGGATCCGAACCAATCATGCGCCTGCCCGTCCAGGGTGGCGAAGAACCCCTTACACAGGATCGCGTCTGTCGCCTCGGTGATCATCATGGCAGCTCTGTACCTGGTCAGGTGTGCCCGTGGGTCCGTGGTCGCCGAGTACGCTTTAATGGTGGGAAAGCGAAAATCTCGAGGTAAGGGCTCCTCCATGATGACGTTTGCGAACGGAGAGGACAACACATCCTCGGGCTCTAGGGATCCGTCCCTCTTGTCGAACTTCCTCTGGAGCTCATCCATCCTCCTCCGCAGCTGTTCGACCTCTACCCGATGGGAGCTCGGAGCTCTACCATTCGATTCCCCTGATCGTTCGACCCGGGAGGCCTGTGCACGCCGAGGTGAGACTCTGGTCCCCCGTCCCGGTGACCCCCGCGGGCCTCCCTCTTGTCGCGGTAGGGACCGGGGTCCGTGGCTCAGCGACCTCCGGGTGACTGACTGCTGTCGTGCCTGCCTGCGGGAGCAGGATTCTGCTGGTGGAGGCTCATTAGCAGCAGGCCTTGGGCCCAACCTCTCCCGGGCTGGCAACCGGTCGCCCAACCTCTCCAGGGCGGGCCTGGCTTTGGTTGGGGCCCTTCCATCTTCGTCACGCTGGCGGTCTCGGCGGGAGTCCCCTCTTCCCCTCCTCTCCGATGGTCGAGGCGAGTTGACCTCCCCCTGGGTGACAGGTGCCTGGGGCGGTCGGGTGCTCGGGGCGCTGCGCCCCCGAGTGGGAGGAGGCGGAGGCGACGCCGGCGCCCCTCCGGTGGCGCCTAGGGCGGCTTGTTCCTCTGCCCGGAGGCCCGCTGCGACGCGCGCCAGCGCGGTGGAGGCTTGTTCAAAGATCGCCACCCCCTCCCGGATGAGTGCGCGAGCCGGAGCGGGGGCGACGGGGGGTGGTGGCCGTGCACCACTACTACGGTGGTTGGTGAGCTGGGCCCTCAGATCCTCCCCCAACCTGGTGGAGGCGGCCGGTTGGATGCTGGGGGCGGGGGCGCCGTTGGGGCCGTTCCCGTTCGCGACGAGCTGGGTGCCGCGGGAACCATTGGTATGACGAGAGCTGGATCTCGATCGTGCCATCGCTGTCGATGAACAATAGTGGGGAGAGCTCTTAAGCTTGTACAGCGGCTCTCAACAAGAGCACCAATGATGGATTTAATTAACCCGGGGGTGTGCCCGAATCAATAAATCCGGATAAGAACGTAATATAATAAGAATAATAAGCGAATAATATAGAACGATGTCGTAAAGGTCGCTGGGGACCGTATATTATATTAATTGCCGTAGTATTTGGCTATTACAAAGATCTGATAGGACAAAGTGTGTAATAAGTGTAGAATATAGATTGAATCGCCCTTTGTTAGGACAAGGAGGGGGGTTTTATACAAGCTAACCCCCCAACCGCCTCCCCCTAAATCAGGGGGTGGTTAGATCTCAGCTTTGACCGGGCTCGGGTGGACCGGGTCGGGTCGGGTCCCGAGCTCGGGTAGGACCGAGCTCCCCGACCCGAGCTCCACGTAGGTCGGCTCGGGTCGGGGAACCTCCATGGTGCTCTGGGTCCGCGTTGCGCTTGGGCACCTCCGTGGTCCCCCGGGTCCGTGTTGCTCTTGGGCACCTCCGTGGTCCCCCGAGTCCGTGTTGCTCTTGGGCACCTCCGTGGTCCCCCAAACTCCCAAAAAGAGAAGACTAATTTGATCCATTAATTTAGATCACTCAACAATTGTGAATTATTGAAAAATAAGTAAAAATGATGAAATTAATTTTACAAATATTGAAAACTTAAAACGTTTATCATAATTATAAAATTTACTTCGTATATGTTTTTTTGTGAGTTAATTACTAAAATAATCACTTGAATATTGTGAAATTACCAATTTGGTCATTGACTATTTTTATTTGCCTAATTAAGTCATCAACTTAAAAAATCATAATCAATTTGGTCTTCTGTTTATTTAGCAGTTAGATGTCTGTATGCTTGAGACCAAATTAATAATTTTGCTATAGTCAATGAACCATTTTGATATTTAACTCTTCGGTTTAATAAAAAAGGAAATGGTGCATGTGATGATTGAAATGATCACTTGATTATAGTAAAATTAAAATTTTTTGAGAAGAAATAATAAAATTATTAATTTGATACCAAGTAAAAGGGTGTTGACGACTAAATAAACAAAATATCAAATTAATTAAAATTTTTAAAGTTAGGAGACTTAGTTAGAAAAACAAAATTAAAAACTAAATTGATAATTTCACTCTAATTAAAAAGAAACATTTCAATAATTAACTTTTGTTAAAAATTTGGATGGTGTTGTAACCTAATGCTCAAAGTAATACCGAGAAAAGAGGGAGAAACTTTCATTCATTCATTGTTACATTACATATTACAACAATACATACATACATACATACATACATACATACATACATATATATATATATATATATATATATATATATATATATATATATATATATATATATATATATATATATATATATATATATAATATACATTTGTAACGGAAACTAATAATGATAGACATAAATGCGACCGTTACATCAATTACATAATCAACTCATAATGTCCACACTTAACTATATTTATAACACTCCCCCTTGGACATTATAACACCACGATCTTAATTGCCTCATTAAAAACTTGATAAGAAAACCCTCTAGGAAAAACCTAAACAAAAAAAAAAAGAGTACAAGGTATATAGATAGCATATTCAAAAACATTCATGCCTCATTAAAAACTTCACTAGGAAAATCGCGTGGGAAAAACCAAGTTGAAGAAAATAATACATGATATTTGTAAAATCATATATTGTTCTGATTGCCTCATTAAAAACCTTAACTTAAGAAAACATTGTGGGAAAAACTTAGTTGAGGGAAAAAGAGTACAACCATAAGCCTTCAGGGCATAACCTGCATAATCTTCAGGATTTTGGAGTTTGTCCATTTAAGTAATTATTTTGCAACTTTTCCCCATTGTCATTATTATATCATACTCATGCCTCGTTAAAAACTTCATTAGAAAAACCTAGTGGGAAAAATTTATTGAGAAAAAGATTGCATGATGTATGTGTTAGGAATAAATTGTAAATTTTGATGAGCCGAATGTATTTTTGAAAAATCAAGTAGTCCCCAATTCTATTTTATTTGAGTCAGTTTTGAGTCTACAGAGTATGGTGCATCATATCATGCAACCAACATACAAGTCTTGAAGATCATAATTTATTTGAAGAAGTTAAGCGGGATTATAGCTTAACACAATTATGATGCGGATAAATCACCAAGAACCATGTTAGAAGAGTTGGATGATATGTGTGTAAGCTATGCTAAATGATACTAAGTTCAAATCTCATGTACCACCGTATGGGAGACTAGGTAGCTTGGGAGACTAACCCAAGATGGAGACTATGCAAGGATTTACCTAAGTAAAAAAGGAGACTAACCAAGTTGAATGCACTAGTCTCACAAAAGCCATGCACAGATGACCAAGCACAAAAACGAAACAGAGCAAAGCATTTCACCATGCACAAACTATGAAGTAGGTTCCAATATATCATTCTACATGGATCGTGAAGGAGAAAATAACTGATATATTTTCATCTGAACAACAATATTTTTACGATGGAACCGGAGACGCTCGAAGAAGGTTGATTCACGGAGATATATTTTCATACTCAAGCAAGAATCAGCAGATGAATTATTTGATCAACTTGATATGTCAGAACATTTATGAATGACAAGAAATGTCAAGCTTGCCGCCCCGAACTTATTCAAATTTTGGTGGCTACAATTTTCAAGAGACGGCAACGGGCAAAATATTCAAATCATCAGGCGAAAGGCTACTGCCTAACATTTCAGATCAAGTTGACAACTTTATTTTGATCAACTACATACGAAGATCGACGATCGAGATCAAAAGTTGATCAACGGGCAAATAGCTTTCATTGCCTATAAATTGCCCAAGCAGACTTGAAGACAAGGACACTTGATAACAAGAGCTTAACACGAATTCTACAGCGATAAACAACAAAGAATATCCAATCAAACATCAAGTGATATATTGAGCTATATACGATAGAATTCAAGTCTGAGTGAGAGAAATATTTTATTTCTTTGTAAACTTCTCTACTGAGTGTAGAAAGAGGGCGGAGTAACTAGAGAGAGTGAAAAGCCCTGGTTAAGTGTAGCTTTGTGCGTAAAACTCGTTGTAAAAGGCAGAGTAACAAGGGGAGCTTGTGAAAACCCTGTGAGAGCGTAGCTTTGTGCGTAGTTTTCGTGGTGTAGGAGTACAGCTTGGTGCGAAGTACTCGGGAAGGCGGAGTAACAAGAGGAGCTTTCGAAAAACCTTGGAGGAGTGTAGCTTTGTGCGAAGCACTCGGAGAAGTGTCGGTGGACACTTATTCACTATTGTATCTGGGTGATTGAAGAATAGTGAATTTCCTCCTTGAAGTGAAAGGAGAAGAGTGGAGTAGGAAAATTACACCATCTCCGGACCACTATAAATCTCTCTCTCTCTCTCTTTACTTACTGCTCATATATTTTGTGCATGCTTATTCTAACTGCGAACTAACCCGATTACGTTTTATCACATATCTTTATCTGTCTAGGTTTAATAGTTCCCATGTTCGCATGCAAGCCAAACTTTACATACATCATCCTTGAATCATATCAAGTGTTTCTAACGTGTTGCATGTTTAGAATCTCTCCTTGAGCACCACACTATTAAGCATAACACTTTACCGCTACCTATTTCGCTGCACACTCTAAGTGGTTTAACTTGTTGATGCTTGTTACTTAGAGTTGAATTTACCAAAGTGTTATTTGCCTTGTGTGTTTTTAGAAGATGTTTGAAAAGTTAGAGAAGTCTATTCATCCCCCCCCCCCCCCCCCCTCTAGACTTCTCGCTACCCTTTCGGGACCAACAAGTGGTATCAGAGCAGTTGTCTATTTGAGTCAATTTTGACTGCTAGACAGATCTCAAATCTTCAAGATGAAGAGAGATATGGTTCTCGCTCAAAATCAGCTTTTCTCACTTGACAAATTTGATGATTGAAAAATTCGAATGCATGTGCACTTATCTGCTCTAAATGACGAAATGTGGAAGTCATCACAAATGGTCCTATCAAGATCATGGAAGTTAATACTGCCGTTGCACGAGATCCAAATGTTCCACAATATGTTCCAAAGCCAAAAATGGAGTGGACAAGTGAAGATAGAGGACCAAATAATTTGGACAACATTGCCAAAGATATTTTGTTCAAGGCCGTAGATGACACCATATTCCCAAAGATTCGAAAGTTCACCACAAAAAGAAATATGGGATACTCTCATTTGTATCGGTGAAGGCGACGAACAAGAAAAAAACAACAAACTAACCATCGCCATGAAGAGGTTCGAAGATTTCAAAATGCTACCGAACGAAAGCATCACCAACATGGAAGCTCGATTGATCAAAATCCTTGGAGAAATCACGGATCTGGGAAAGACCATTACCTAGAAGGAAATATCGCTCAAAGTGTTATGCGGACTACCAACAAATTGGGATATGAAGGTGACCGCAATGCGCGACCATAGAGATCTAAGGACATTATCTACGAATAAACTCTTTAGTGATCTTAAGGCGTACGAGTTCGAAATGAAGACACGAGTCGAAGAAGAACGCAATGAACGAACATCCGCACTGATGGCCGAACAACCATCCACATCAAGGTCAGTAGGAAATAATGATTTTTTATCCGATGAACAATTTTCCTTATTTGTTAGGAAATTCAAGAAGTTCATGCGAAAGAACAAAGGATCACCACAAGGAAATTCTTTTCAAGAGAATAGAAGATCAAGAAGAGAATATGCCGAAGAAAACACAAATGTGTGTTACAATTGTAGGAAGCCTGGACATTTTATGGCCGAATGTCCACACCCCAAGGTGAACAAAAATTCGAATACTTCTAACTCACCACAGGTGGAATACAAATCCAAAGAGAAGAAATTCAAACAGGACAAGCGGAAGGCACTAATAAGCGATCCACTAGAAGCAAGTGAATCCGAAGAATCATCTAGTGACGAGAGTGATTCATCACAAGAAGATACGGCGCTACTATGCTTAGTAAGCAAGACATCCAAACATGAGGAATGCCTTATGGCGCGTGAAACCGACGAAGAGGTATCTTCTAGTTCCTTTAGTTCCTTTAGTTCAGTTGACACCTCTTTCCAGACTCAAGAAACATTTCAAAGTCTTATGGAAGATTGTCAAAAGGTCATGGCCACTCATACTCAAATCAAAGAGCTCAATAATACGTTAATCCTTGAAAAGGAAGAAATTGCACAAAAATTGCAAAATGCTCTAAATGAAATGAGTAACTTGAAAACCGAAAATATTCGACTTCAAGAAGAGTGCAAAGCTAGAGAGGTTCGAGAACATAACCTTCGGGAAGTTATCGCATTATTTACGCATTCATCCAAAATAATGGATAAGATGGTGAATATGCAAAAACCCGCTGGAGATAAGGCCGGATTGGGCTATGATCTATCATGTTCTCAAACCCCTGTGAAACTAACTAATTCTACTACTACTTTAATTAATAAAGTTCCAGTGGTAAAATTTGTGAAAAGTCAGTATAGAACAATGAGACAAGGAGTTGGAAAACAAATCAATGCCCAGAAAAATGTTGCAAGGCCGAATCCAAAAATTAATATCTTGGATAGGCAACAAAATTTTAAAAGGCAAAAATTTGTATCTCAAAAGAGAGCCAACGAGTCTAGTGCAATAAAACCTCATAGGAATATGGGAAGAATTCCGAGAATTGGGGCTGGGAGATTATATCCTAGAACAAGATTGGTGGCTTGAAGACAAACCATGGACCAAGTCCAGATTTGCTCTTTTTCATAGGATCAAGCAACTATCTGCTTCCCAACCCGCACCAAAGCATTATTCGCAAGTGCGTTATGATTATAGAGTCTTTAATGGTTACAAATCACCTACTATTGGATAAGTGGAATCTAGGTCGATACTGGGTACCAAAAAGAAATTAATCTTTTTTGCAGGAAATTTGGTATTTTGATAGCGGATGCTCTCGACATATGACCGGCAATAAAGCTAGTCTAGTTGAGTTCAAAAGTATCGAAGGACCAAAAGTAGTTTTCGGTGGAAACGATCGATATGGAATGACAAAAGGAACAGGCGCAATTGTGAAAAATGGTCTACGAATTGGTGACGTATCTTATGTCGAGGGATTAAAATTCAACTTGTTCAATACAAGTCAATTTTGCGACAAAGGATATCTCGTAGAATTTTTCAAAGGCAAATGTCAAGTCAAGGACGAATTTACGAATGAAGTCGTACTCGCCGGATCAAGAAAGAAGAATATGTACGCTGTAGATTGGAGTACAACAAAAGAATCCGTATGCTTGATGGCAAGCAATTCGAATGAAGCTAGTTGGGAATGGCACAGAAGGCTAAATCATTTGAATTTCAAAACCATCAACAAGCTTGCAAGAAATAAGCTAGTCGAAAGACTACCCAATATTGTGCTAAAAAAGGATCAAATATGTGACGCATGCCAGAAAGGAAAACAAATCAAAGCATCTTTCAAAATCAAAGCTCAAGAGTCATCATCAAGACCCTTAAGTCTACTGCACATGGACTTATTTGGTCCAGTAGACCCAGTAAGTATAAGTGGTAAGAAATATAATTCGGTTGTTGTTGATGATTTTTTCAGGTACACATGGACAATATTCATCAAGAAAAAGGATGAAGTTTTATCAAAGTTGTCAGACCTATTGAAGCTACTACAAGTCGAAAAGGACATGAAGATTGCGACAATACGAATCGATCGAGGAACAGAGATTGTGAACATAGTGATTCAATCGTACTGCAACTCACAAGGAATCTTACATCAATTATCTGATGCACGAACGCCACAACAAAATGGTGTAGCAGAAAGAAGAAGTCGAACACTCAAGGAAGCCGCACGAGTCATGATAGCAGCCGCCGAACTACCAAAAAGATTTTGGGCAGAAGCAATCAACACGGCGTGCTATACTCAAAATCGTAGTCTAATCCACAAGTCCTATAACAAAACACCATATGAATTATGGAAAGGGAGAAAACCCAATCTCACCTATTTTCATACATTTGGTTGTAAATGTTTTGTACTTGTTAATGGAAAGTCTCACTTAAAGACTTTTGACGAGCGAGCGGATGAAGGAACATTCTTAGGATATTCATCTACCAGCAAGGCGTACAGAATATTCAACAAATCAACCATGGTGGTAGAAGAATCAATTCACGTTGTGTTTGACGAAAATCACGACAAAAATAGCAAAAATAATGGATGTAATAGTGATTTAAATAATTCTATTAATACTTTAGAAGATAATGTGTTGCAGGAGGTAGAAGAATCAAGTGATATGGGCACTCACCAAATTGAGACAATACAAAATGTGATACCCGAAGTATCACTCACACCTACAACCGAAATTGCACCCGGAATTCCAACGGAAGAAATCCCAGTAGATGAATCCGAAGATGCACCCGTCAACAATACACAACAAATGGAATCACACCAAGTGGTATTTCAACAAGAAGGAAACTCTAAGAATCCAATGAGTTTTCAACCAAATCGAAAGTGGCTAAGAAGTCACCCACATGACTTAGTCATTGGAAATCCGAGGGACGGAGTAAGAACACGATCATCTACTAGGGACCACCAACAAGATGTACCAACAGGGGATGCAATGTTCTCATGTTTTCTATCACAACTGGAGCCGAAAGAAATTGACGAAGCTTTAGCCAATCCAAGTTGGATAGACGCAATGCAAGAGGAATTAGATCAATTCAAGTGCAACGACGTATGGAAACTTGTTCCAAGACCAACGCACCAAAATGTAATTGGCACTAAATGGGTTTTTAGGAACAAAGCAAACGAAGACGGCGTCATTGTTAGGAATAAAGCAAGATTAGTCACGAAGGGGTATTCACAAGAAGAAGGTATTGATTTTGATGATACATTCGCCCCCGTCGCACGACTCGAAGCAATCCGGATATTCCTAGCATATGCAGCGCACAAGAATTTCATCGTATATCAAATGGACGTAAAGAGCGCATTTTTTAATGGCTTACTTGAAGAAGAAGTTTACGTCGAACAACCACCCGGTTTTGAGGTAAAAGACGTTAGTGATCAAGTCTACAAATTAAAGAAGGCATTGTATGGGTTAAAACAAGCTCCTCGAGCTTGGTACGACACCTTGTCAATGTTCTTAATTAGTTGTGGATTCACCAAAGGTCTAGTCGATAAAACCCTCTTTAGAATTCAAGAAAATAATCACATTTTATTAGTACAAATTTATGTTGATGATATTATTTTTGGAAGTACTGATAAATCTTTATGTGAGAAATTTTCTAAGCTCATGCAGAACAGGTTCGAGATGAGTATGATAGGAGAATTAAATTACTTTTTGGGATTGCAAGTCAAACAAATTGAAGAAGGAATTTTCATAAATCAAGCCAAGTACACAAGAGATCTTATCAAGAAATTCGGCATAGATGGAAAATCCTCAGTCAAAATTCCCATGTAGGAAAATATGTCGACCAAATGATGTATCGAGGGATGATTGGATCGTTACTTTACTTAACCGCAAGCAGACCAGACATATCCTACTCAGTTGGCGTATGTGCGAGGTTCCAATCAAAGTCCAAAGAAAGTCATCTGATTGCAACCAAGAAGATAATTCGATATCTCAAAGGAACAATCAATGTGGGATTATGGTATCCCAAAGAAGGAGATTTTACACTAACTGGTTATTCAGATGCAGATTTTGCAGGTTGTAAAATAGACCGAAAAAGTACCCCAGGGACATGCCAGTTCTTAGGGGGAAGATTGGTCTCTTGGTTCAGCAAAAAGCAAAACTACATAGCTATGAGCACTGCCGAAGCCGAATATATTGCAGCTGGGAGTTGTTGTGCACAAATCTTGTGGATGAAGCAACAATTATTGGACTATGGGATTAAGTGCGAAAACGTTAGCATTTTATGCGATAATACTAGTGCAATCGCCATAGCTCAAAATCCGGTGCTTCATTCGCGAACCAAGCATATCGGCGTTCGACACCATTTCATCCCAGACCACGTCGAAAAGAAAGATTTGAAAATCGATCATGTTCCCACGGAGAATCAAATTGCCAACATTCTCACAAAGCCGTTGTGTGAATCTCGCTTTGCAACTCTAAGGCATGAAATAGGAATGATCGAAATGAGCTAAGCGTTTCTAAACTCTTAATTTTGAAATATGTTCGCACTTTGTGTTAATCTCTGTTGTTTATGTGACCTACGTGTTTTAATAATATTCTGAAGCATATGTTATATTTGTATGCGTGTAATATTTATTAAGTTGCGTACATGTTTCCGTAAAATTTATATGTGCTTAAATATGTTAATTGTGTCTTACGAAAATTATGTGAAATGTGTGTTTACATATTTGTCACGTTTTTAGCATATTTAATTTGTGTGATTTAATTACTATCTAAGTATGCTCTAATTAATTAGTTTAATTAAGTAAAGTTTTTTTTGGTTATGTAATTAAGGGGAACATTTTTTTTGGTTGGGTCAGCATATATTAAGGGGGAACTTTCAAATTGCCTGCATGCATGTTTGCCTAAAATTTATTTCTCAAAAGTCAAAGAGAGTTAGGTTCAGGTCTGTAGAAAGTCCAATCCATTTAATTTACTTTGAAAATTGGAAAACCTTTTCAGACTGTTAGGTATATATCTGTCAGTTCAGAGAATTTATCAGCTTTATTGAAATCAGAAATCGAGGTGATAATATATATCTGGAATATATTTATTGCTCTAACATATTATTTTCGAGATTTTTTTTCTCTGTTTTGCTCCAGGTTGGCAGTTATTTGAAGCACAATTTTTGGCGCCATGTACCTACAAGTGGAGTATTTAAATCTGAGCTGGCAAATTTAAATCATGTGGAAGGTCGAATTTATCCTCAAAGATCAATAGTCTCTCTCTATCCACTAAGGGGCAAGGATGTAATTTCGCAAGGGAATTACCCTCTTTTCTAACTGGTGGGAGATGAAAACCAAAAAATTGAAAGCTCTTCTTCTTCTCCACTTCGCCGGCCGACTTCACCAAGAGAAACAAATCCAAACCACCTCAAATGCTTCTACACCCATCCAAAACCTTCTACACAAATTCATTCTACCCATAAATACCCATTACCCAAACCTAAAATCACAACCAAAAAGCCTCTAAAACCAAATACCCAAACCCCTCAATATTTTCGGACATCATCGCCAAAAAATTTGAAAAATCCGAAAACTCCACCAAAATCACCCAACTGAAGTTCTAATCAATGGAGGTTGATCAATTGGAGACGGAGACAATCACTACTGGAGAGACAAGGAGATCAAGCCGTGTGCTTAGTGACATGATTCTCGACACCACCGATTTGAACTCTCAAGTCCAAGACAAAGCTTTGGGGGTAAAAATTATCAATTCTCTTGAAACTTGTGGATTGTTAAATTTTTGCACCTTTAGATACATTGGATTTTACAAAGATGAAGTGACCGGGCTATATTTGCATGCTAAAGTTGAGAATAATTCGATTAAATCTATGGTGAAATGAGTAGAGGTGGAAATAAAAGTCGATGATTTTCGGAGGGTATTTAATCTTGTTGAATCGAATTTGAGATTAGAAACTCATGATTTTGATGTCAATGCCTTTTG